AATGTTAGTTAAAATAAATATAAACCCTACATGTTTATTAGGAAACTGTAGATAATGAAATTTCTTAAATTAATTTAGTATCATATTAAATCATAGACTTTAACATCTCGTAAGCACAGAATGGCGAAATATAAAACAATCAGAAGTATACCTCATAGAGAAGCATTCCTTTGCACAACGATGTTTTACACTTTCAGTCAAAAAGAAAATAATTTCCTTGCCAAAATTGATATTTATTATGTAACCAAATCCATGTAAATAGGCGGAAGAGAAAGAGAGAGAGGGAAAGAGCATAAACTGAAATTCTTTTAGCTGATGTGAAGGACATTGAACGCATCAAATTTAATAACAAAATTAATTGAAAATATAACGCTGATTTTTGTTATTTTTTACGCTGATCTTTTTGACATTTTTAGGCTGCATTCTGTGACATTTTCATAAGATTAAAAGCGATGGAAAAAAACTAAAGAATTATAACCTTTCCACTAATATTACAGAAATGTGAAATAGCATTAAAAACAAATAAACATATTTAAGTCTGACCTCCTCAAGAAATGACAGCACATCTACTGTCAACTATCAGTTGTAAAAGTGGAGTACCTATATTAAGAGAATGATAACCCAATGTAAGTAATTAAGGTGGTTTTTATGAAAAATTTTAAAGACTGTTCATAACGTATTATCTCGAAAATAGTGAAACTGTCGCAAAGCAGCGTGATTTAGTTGTAATTATGGATAAGTGCAATGTAACAACGCTTTCATAATATCTTCGCTTTCGTTTGACGTAAATTCTCGATTCTCGATAAGCTGCGTTGTTTTATGAACAAGGATATAAATTAACTGTTACTGTTGCATTTTTTCTTGTACTTTGAAAAAAAAAAAAAAAAAAAAGGAGAATTGAAATTTGGTACCTGCCATCTACAGAACAAGCAGTGGATTATTTTCAATGTTGTGTAATTATATTTAAAAAATGTGAATTAGCGGACACGATATAGTCAGCTGAATACAGTCTACAAAACAGTAATAAACTGGAACAATTATCTTCAAGAAATTTGAACTCCGTTTTCTGCATAAAGCTTCTGATAAAATCGGAGGGTCTATAAAAATAGAAGAAATCGACGAAAGCCTTTTTAGGAAGTAGCGAAGCGGATCGAATACTGATTGCTTATTAAATAAAGAAGAGTCAACTCCTTCAGAATTTCCCAAGAACGATTGGCAAAACTTTGGCGGGATCTCCTGCCAGCTTTCATGGGACCATGGTAGCCAACTTTTATGGTCGACAAGATAATACGCAAGTACCGCTCATAATATTTAATATATATTATTTTTTATTCCATTGTTTTGCAACTAATATTTACAAATTACCATTATTAATGGTACTTAAAAAGGGCATTTTCCCAAATCCAAGGAATGACAAGAAAGATTATGCATAATCAAACATTCTAACCTTGCCCGGGAGCGGGAGTGACTTCGGGTGTCATCCCATAAGGGTTGAAAATGGGTCCCACGTGTTTCAAATCGCAGTAATTCTCACTGCCTTTAATCCTCGGCGGTACAGGGAACTCGTGGATACCCAAAGCAGAGCCTCTGCCTCTGAGATTGTGCAACTGGATGGTAACCACTGTCGGTTGAGTTCGATAGCTCTGGCTTAGAAGAATGTGACCTTTCACTGAATCAGTACTGATGTAAGCTTTGACTTCCTTGGGTCGAACAGGAACCAATGGTGCACAAGCCATGATGCGGAAAGGGTTGCCACTCTCGTAAAGCACTAGATACAAAGACCGAAGCCCCCCTTCCACAGCTGACAGTGGAAGGTTGGTGTCAACATAAAACCTGAATAAAAAGTAAACAGAATCTTTAGAATAAAAAAATATAAGTGCATAACATTATATCAATTTAATTCTGCGAAAATTTTGAAAATATAACGCTGATTTTTGTTGTTTGACTTCTGAATTACATCAATTGTTAAATAATATAAAGTACATAATATAACTGCAAAAACGAAATTTATAAAAACGTGTAAAGTATCGATTAACTAAAAAGTAATGGTGTAGTGTAAATAAAACCATCACTCAGTATTTGTAAAATAAAATTTACATTGAAGATTAATTTTTTTTTAAAGCTCGTGTTTCTGTATTTCAGTTGAATGGTAATAACAATTACTAATTTTGTAAAGAGGATGACAGTGAAAAAGGAAAGCTAACGAAACCTTCGATTCCATGATGACGAATGACAGCTATATTAAGATGAATATTACATGATCATATTTAAAATTAAACATCGAATCTGTCAGATAGCTAATCTTTTAAGCCTTACCTAAGTTAAAATCTATTTAGTTTTTAAAGAAAGAAGTCACTATTATTCTACCATGATAAAGTTACACAGAGTGGCTATAATTAAATTGGTTCTACTCACAACTTCTTCTAATAAATTCTAATCGACAAATGTCAGCGATACTTGGTATATAAAATTTTGAGACCGAAAGAGAAGCGATTTTCGAAGGGTTTAAGAAAATAATAATAATAATTTTAAAAAATTGAAGACTTTCAGATTTTATATTACGCCCAAAGGGGTGTTTTTTAATGTTTTGTGCGTTACTTTTATTTATGAAATATCATGCTCTTTGAACTTGAACCATAAATTTATTTTCAGCAGCAAAATCACTAAAATACTTAAAAAGAGCATATCTTTAGAATTTCCGATACACAGTCTCGCGCGCTGGAGATAAAATTTTGTTTTTTAATTTTTTCAGATAGTGTTGCCATTTCTATCTTTGAAATCGAAGAGTTTGTTAACCCAAACGTTTTACAAAATATGAAATAGATAAAAAAATTCCAAATTTGGGATTACAGGCGCCCATATTCGAGTGGAAGACTACGTTATTCAAAATTTCATGTGCCTTAGGTACCGTTGTGCTTTTCACAGTGCAAGAAACATACATATATTTATGCAGATTCTTCAATTATTTAATTTCTTTAAATATAATGCAGTGCTCTAATATTTGGTGGAAACAATTTGAAAAGTGAAATGCCGTTTATAGTGAACTAACACAAAATGAAAAAACGAAATTATAATAGTTAATTAATACTTCTGGGCTAACGCGTTTCGGCTAAAAAGCAGTAAAATTTTGGCATTTAAAAGGCAAAATGATGAAAAAACTATGAACAACTTGTTTGCTTAAAATACAACCAATCAGTGCACAGATATCGTTCTATGATAATCATCATGCCTTTAGAGGACACAGAATACATTTATTTCACCACAAATAAAGCAATAATTTATCGACATTTCAAGGAATGGATTAGATTAGATTACTTAAATTAGGCAATTCATGCAATAATTCTTATTTAACGAAAGAGATACTTTAGTGGAGAACATTTTAAAGGAAACTACCTGTATTTTTGTCATATGCAAGGAATGGCGTAAATTTCATGCAGACACAAATATGGCAGGAAATACTTCGGAGCGAACTATAATTATTTCATGCCTTTAATGACTTAACTAATGATAATTTGGCTGCTTTGCGAAGATCTCATCATTTGAGAGGACTGTGCACATGATCCAAGTCTAAAACTGGGTTAAAAATATTGTTATGAAATGTTAAGACCCTAGAGATTTGGTTAAAACACTAAAAAGAGTATGGAACCCGGTTGCAATGAAGTTGTTGACGAAATCACTCTTGCTGCGGCTGACGTAGCTGCATGTAACGTACATGAATCCTCTGGTTAGCTGCCCGAAAATCAGTCTTACAATGATAATGTTACAAAATTCTCTAGAGTACGTATGTTTCGCTAGTCGGTTTCTGTCGAGAGTACACGTTGACTGCATGTAGCATTGAAATAATCAAGAGACGAAACAAGCGTATTCTGCCTTTCTAAAATTGGTAAACATGCAGTACTTTTGAACCATTACCGCTGATGTCATTGATGCCCCATTTTTCAGACTGCAAGTGTTCTGTTACGAATGCTTATCACACTTAATTTCTTAACCGACAGGTGATTCCTGCCTAGCAAGAACGGATTTATGTAGAGTATTTATAGACTATTCAAACAAGATGCGCTGATTTTATTAACCAATAAGTGAAAAAATGTTATTCATGTTAGTTTGCTTCATGTTAGTTTAAATGATTATTACTTATCTTCAGAATTTTATCAAATGTTTAGTACACACGGTATTAAGTCTGTTACTTCTGGCAGTCAAAATATGTCCAAAATGTGGCTACATGGAAAACATGTAGGATGATACGAAAGGAAGCGTAAACACGACAAACGCGGACCTCATACGAGGAAAAAGGCTTCTGTGCGCATTCATCAAAATGCATTGTTTATGTTGATCTGAGGATCGCATATCGAACACCGGGTGGTTTTTTCCCATTAGGTATTTTAATATTTTATATACATGCCTATGAAGCGAATTCTGTAAAGCAGCAGATTAAAAAAATAGCTACAAAATAATGAAACCCATAAGTTGGATGTACTAAGTGCAACTAAACGTAGCATTTGTGTTACTTGGTTGACAAAATTTTGCTGTATGCGTAAGCTGATTTGTATAAACTGCTTAACATTAAAATGAGATGTGTTTACATAATTTTAGAAAATTTGCAGGTTAAGATAATTACTTATAATGAGAGCACAATGAGAATATTTCAGTCACATATAATACGCATAATTTTAAACCACTGTTGTTAAAAATATCAAAAGAAGTTTTAAGAATAATAATGAAGCACAACTGATGTAGTTAATAATTTTATACACGACCAACCAGCATAATTTATTACAAAATACCAGCATAATTTATTACAAAATACTGATTTGAACAAATAGAAGAGTAATATGGTATACTGTTAAAAGGCTTCGATATAACAAGGCAACATTAATGTTTACATATCATAATAATATGCAGAAATTTACAAATTTAATACATTAGAAAGTATATAATTTGTATAAATAACAAAAAGAATAGCTTATCGTTACTCAACGAAATTTATGTAAAGATCAACTAGGAATTACTACATGTAAGATAATAATGGCCAGTGCTTAATTTCCAAAAACCAATCCTTAACTTCCAGTCAAAGTTCTTTGCAGCTTAGCTCTGAATTCTTTATTTAACATAAATGCTCTACACTGAAGCCATTATGCAGTAAGCGCCAGTATGTTCTCCTTCAATATATAACGAAAACATGCCGGCTGCAAAGTTTCTTTAAATAGTAATTCAGATTATTTTAATTAAAAAGGGGATATTATTGCGCATATTTTAAAAGCGAGGAGCAAATTATTAGGCAAATGCAATTATTAAAATACTGTATTAAAATTTCACTTCTAATAAGCCGTCATATTACTATATTAAGTATTTTTATTGTAAAACTGATGCCACATTTAATTTATTTAATGCATTTAATTTATGTATGTAAAAACAAATTTCATCACAAATTAATACACGTAAAAATTTATATTCTAATCACAGTAAAAGAAATTATATTTAAAAGCATATTACCTCAACACTATATATCATCATGTTTTATTATTTTTCTTTTAGTTGATGAATTTAATTTTTTAATTCACTTATTTAATTTATTGTTAACCCATACATTTTATTTTACCATTAGCTGCCTTCTGCTTGCATTACAATATCTGTAATTTTTTTTAAATCAAGCTTTAGTGAAAGATCAAAATTCAGGCCAACGTTTTTCTACAGCTTATATAAAAAAAAAAAAAAAAAAAAAAAAAACGCAGACGGCTAGCCAATAGAAATGCTAGTACTTTCGTGTTATTCGCCCAGCTCTCCCGCAAAGTCGCCAATCGTTGGGGACTATTTTTTTTCCAACATAAAACGTGAAAAACAGTAACCATTTAAAAAAAAAAATGGCGGCGACCTGAAAGTTGCATAAAACAGCAACGAATTAAAAATGCAAGTAACATCCATAATGAAACAGTAAATGTTACATAAACGTTCATAACAAAACATTCAGAATTTCATAAAACAGTAACAAAGTAGCTAAATTAAAAACGCAAAAAACAACCACAATAAAACACTTAACTTATTTTTTGGGTCCGTGTGCACAGCGATCTGTTTTAACTTTAAAAAAAAAGGGGGGAATTGCAGATTTCTTGGCATTCCAGGGCAAATTGGCACTGCTCCCCATGTACACATTAACCTATTTAAAATGTAAAAAAAAAATCAGAGAACTGCAGAATTTTCGGCATTGTTCTCCATGTACGCATCGAGCCGGTTTAATTATGGAAAAAAAAAAAAAAAAGGAGAGAGAGAATTGTAGAATTCTCGACACCACACAGCAAACTGGCACTGCTCTCCATGTACACTTTTAGTTTATTTTAACTAAAAAAAAAAAAAAAAAATCAAAGAACTGCAGAATTCTCGCATCTTCTGCATACAAGCATCTTGTCCGCACCAGCGCATAGGGAAAGGGCTTGCTTGTGATTGGACACACTTTTTGATGAAATCATTTTCTCTTGGCGTATTGGCGTTTTTAGGAGAGATTATTAGGTATGTTTTTGTCGACGACCCTATAGTAAACACGCGGAATGTTAAAGTTAGCGGTGTTTTTTTTTTTTTTTTTTTTTTTTTTTGAACAATTATGCCAGATAAGAAGATTTACTTCAAGCGTTCTGCAGATGACTTCCTGTTATATGGAAAAATAAAATAACAAAATTTTTCAAAGATGCTGTTCGCTGTTAATATCAGATGGAAACTTAAACGCTTAGATTATATAAATAACGAGTTCTAGAATTTAGTATAAAACCATAACATATTAGATTACACGACGATCTCGGCCTAACTGTAAAGGCATTGTGTGCTCGTAAGTATCTTATTATTGCAATTTTTGTTGCGTTTATTTCTCTTCACATTTCAGAAAATATTTCCTTTGGAACTGCATGTGTTATTTCCATGTTAGTTACTATGTCTTTTACATTTCTAATATTCAGTTGCATTAAATGAAAGGAAAAAGTGCATTCAAAACTGTCGCGGAATTTAATAAGCGTATATAGGAAAAGGAATTTCCTTTTCTGATAAGCACTATTTTTAAAGGTATGAAAGATAATACACATTAAAAATGGGCAATATTCATAAAATAATATTATTCAAATTAAACATACGTATCTTTATTTCTTTAATCGAAATCTATAGTAGTCTAACTTCAAAAATAAATTTTACTTTTCCAGACTGACTACAAATATTGTGAATTTACTATATATTATGTTAAGTCTTGACCCGCCCAGACGGTAATGGTGGATAGGGGAGCCGACTGCGATACCAAATGGCCCGGGTTCGAATCCCGGACTGACTGATTGATTAGGTACCACCGGTTTCTCCGGCTCATTCAATTTATTGCCACATGGGCGCATCACGATAGACCTTGTATGTATATTAAAAACCCGTAGATAATGAGGAGGTAGGAAAAGGGGACCGGAACATTGCGCGGTCGATAATCCAGCAAAACATGAACAGACAAAACTTGGTGAGTATACCGTCATAATTCTATGTGAGAAAACAGACTTAATTCTGTGTTCGGTATAGTGGTCAGGGAATCTGACTGAGATGCCGAAGGGCCTGGGTTCGAATCCCGGTGAAGGTATGGTTGTACTTGTCCGTTCCCTCATAGGAGGCAAGGGTGGCCAACCTATTAGGTGTCTCCATAATCAAGTGACCACCACTTCTGGCCTTAGTAGTGGCCAACGTCTGTGGACGTTCTGGGACCGCCATTGGAAAAAAAATGTTAATTTCCAACTCTTTTGCTATTTGCCAAAACTGACTTGTCTCATGCTCTCGGAAATAACATCTGCAGAGAATGGATGTATAATGAACATGAAATAATGAATTAATAATCACAACCACCTTTATTATGAACGGTTTTAAATTAAGAATATGTTTATTAAATATCTCTGCACCTAATAATAATACAGATTTAACAATTTAGCAGAATAGAAGAAATAATACTTTTTCTCTGTAGTGAAAAAAATCACTCCAATTTTTTAATTCACCACATTACAGGGCCGTAAGAAGTGTAATCTCATGGCACCAAAAATACAACCGTACGTAACAGTAATAATCATTTCGGTACTGCTATCAAAATGTAAACAAACGGTGTTGAGGTGTACTCTCAAGCCTAAGCAAAGTCAAGGCTTCCTAAGCGTAGAGGGAAATGATGTCATCGGAAGCCATACCCAATCCCGAAGATTAAGGTCCCTATGCGCGTGATGTGGTACGAAATGCTTATATGAGCCCGGGTTTGAATCCTGGAGAAGCCATGGATGTAACTGTCCGTCACTTCATGGGAGGCAACGACTAGGCAACCGAGGACGCCTGTTAGGTGCGTCCACAATAAAATGGCCACCACTTCTGCCTTAGGGGTGAGCAATGTAGAATTGAAGCCATTGGATTAAAAAAGAAAACCTATATGATAAAACTTACCATATGTATATTCTTTAGAACAGCAATTAATAAAAGCGAACAGCTGTCTTAAACTATATTCGGCTATTCTGAAACTAATTTTCTATTCACATTCGAACACTTTGTTAGCAAACTGTAACAGAACATTGTTTATTTCATTCGAATTCCAAAACGGTGCCCATGCCGTGCTTGCACAATGTGCGCGCAACCATAATAATGGGTTGCCAGGTAAAATACATATGAGTTATATTCTGGGTTGCCTACTTTGGCGATACAGCGCTTTGACCGGTGATTCTTCTCAGCGTCGAACGGATACCAAAATATTAAATTTAAATACTGTGTCAACCAGAATAAAAAACAAATCTATAAATAATACAAAATAACTTTTAAAATGTCATTTCGAGTTTCAATACTAGGTAATGTTAAGAATTTATTAATTGTATACGGTGGGTATTTTAATAAAATGGCAGAAAGGATATCAGACATTTCGGTATTTGAGGCAATTTTCAATCATTTTATTACCTTTTAGAATAACGTGAATTTGTTGCTCCCACAGCTACCTCTCCATGTTTACGTGTCATCTCGCCGATCTTGCAGTTGTGATGAGAAGATTTAGAGCAGTTGGAATCTTCGATATTGTTTGGATCGAATAAAACCTATAAAATCAACAATTTAACACAATTCAATTTGAATTTCTTAGTGCTATGAATATAATCTACAATATATAAGCAAACTGAAAGAGCTAATTTGGTAGCCCTCATTCAATTTTTATCGCTCATCATTAGGGATACCCGATTACAGTTGATGAAGGGCCATTAAATCATACAGATTACCATCAATAATCAACTTCTAATTTTATAAAACTATTTCTTAGAATTCAGTACTAATAATGCAGATGCTATCGACTGCTTGTAACCTTACTTTAAGAGTTAATAGCTGTATTAGCTATTTTAAAAGTTTCAGTAATATATTTCTTTTAAAATGGTAGCAACTTTACAAAAATTCTTTTAAAAAAACATGGCGATGAAATGATTACAACTGTTTCTTAGTTACAAAAATGGCAAGTGGAAGATACATTTTCTTTTAAGTTCTTGTTCTAGCAAATTTTCTTATTTAGACACATAGTAATTGCTTCAAAAGCTTTTATTTCGAGTAGCTTCGAATTCTATCTCAATTTCTGCTCTGTGCTCGAAACACGGAAACTTGTGAAGGTGACTAAATGTAATAGATATTTTGATAACATTTTCAAGTATGCCTCAGAAAGTTGCTACTTAAGAAAAGGTAATACGCGGCCTATGATAAATAAACCTGTGAACCGAATATAGACTATGCACAATAATTTCACCATAATTGTTCTAAAGTAATTTATATAAAGAAATTACGAATAATATTAATACGAAAAAAATTCAAAAGTTATACTGAATTCCTTTAATTCGAATATTAAATTCATTCTAAATGTTCTAAGAATAACTACATAGGCTTAAGTTCACTGTGTCGGGAAATATTTCACAAATTACCTGAAGGTATTCACATCTTCTTTTCCTGGATAATTCTTTTGTCGTATCCAAAATATCAGTGGCCAAAATTCGCCATTCATGGTTAGTTGATGGCGTATAGTCCTCAGTAGTATGGAAAATATTTGCAAAAATAGTAGTTTCTCCAAGTTCACCTTGCCGAAATATTACAGTTCCTACTACAGGCGCTGAAAATGTGGCCTCTACTGTCTTTGTATCACCGTCGCTCGCAATGTTAGCACAGGCTCTCAAATTGGTATTATAAGCTATATTTCTGAGTAACAAAGATCTTCCCCAGATGGTATTGGATCCCCTTAGTTGGATTTCAGAGTCTGTAAATACTTGAGGAATGCCATCTGTTGCAGGGATCATTATCGAACCATGATGCTTGGCCAGGTCGTAAAAACTGAAATAAAATGCAAACTTAAAAATAATGCTATCGCATTTTTCATAATAAATTGTAATTAGAATGTGATTGATAAAAATCATGCTTGTAAACACAGGGAAACTAAAACGCAAGACTTTTGATAACATTTTACATGGCACCGAAAATGAAGTTTCCTCATTATGAATTAAAATAAAAAGAAGTTAATATTATTTTTATCATTTAATCAGCTTGATGATTACGGAAATGAAATATTTTCAGTTAAAAACGATTAAGAATAAACCTGGATAAAACTTGTGAATGGATTCCATAGTTATAAATCTGTTAAGTTTTAAAGACAAAAACTTGATAAAGAAAACTGTTTGAGACTTATACTAATCATTTGCATGTATTTTTGCGACTTACTTTGAACTGTTTTTGTGCAAAAATACACAAATTTATCCAACAGAAATAGGAAGTTTAAAACTATGAGCAATTTTAAATTTATCCTCCTTTTCCTAATATTTTTACAGCATATATTTCCTTGAAAATCTACTAATACGTCTTTATAACACAGATTAATTAAATAATGATTTTCAATATTTAGCAATATAAATTTAAAATTCTATTAGCGGCTATACGTAGCATTAATTTTTCTAATTTCCAGATTCTGAATAGCGCTCAGCAGCAGCCGAGCGGTAATGTCGCTGAACACTGGTAGTTCGGTCCGAGATTCGAATCCCTCGAACGGGCTGTCTGCATGGGCGTTTTTATGGTTTTACCCTATGTATAACATGTATACGAGCCAGTTTCCCTTAGAACGTCCTCCGCGAAGGCATCCCTCCCTTAGGCAGATAGCCCTTCAGGCTTTTCCATATTCACACAAACCAAACCAGATTCTGAATGCTTAAGCTTTCTGGATTTTTCAGGAAAAAATGATTAATTAATAAAAAATTACGAAATATAGAGCTAAAATATTATTTATTTCTTTTTGTGCTCACATATCATTATGCGAAAATTCACTTGAAGTGTTTTTAGTCAGAAAAGGCATGTCTACGATGTTATCAACATGCCATGATTTGCCACTGTTTTAGTTTTTACCTCGATCTTTTATACGACGATGTTTTAAAACCATGAGGATTTCCTCTGCTTTGTTTATTGCCACAATGTTTTAGAGCTGCGATGTTTTCGCCTACGACGACTTTTTTTCTTGTGTTGTTTCCTCTGCGATGTTTTCGACAGCCACCAGTATTTCAAAGATGACAGTGGTTGGATGTCGACCAGTGCGACGGGCGATATCACGGAACGATAATCCACACTCTCGATATGCAACGCTCCTGCCTCTATTGAATTCCGACACTTGCTGGTAAGCCTTTCTTCTTATTCGAGGCATAATATGGTATTCTGAGCAAACCCCGATCTTACAAAGCCCTTTCCGAATGAGAGAAATCCATTACGCAACTTTTCTTTTATGCAGTTCTTCATATGTCGTTTCTCTCTCCTGCATCATCTAAATACATTGAAATACTAATCATTTGCATATCCCAACCACTTCGTCTTTTCATGCGATTTTGACGTTCGTCAGAGTATTCCTTCCTGATGTTGCAATTTTAATATATTGTTGCGTTCTTCGGGTTCGTGGATTTTCAGTGATTGATAACAACACTTAATGAAGAATTAAAACACATTTTATACCAGTATTACTCAGAACAGTTCCAAAAACAGGTTTACAATCGTCATTTACAAATTAAGACACGTTTACAAACTAAGACAAACACGCTGAAACAATCAGCAACACAGCCGTCAAGTTATAACGGTGAAGATAGCTTCACGACAAAACACTAAATGCAGCTCCTGACTCGATCGATCGCTCTCGGAGCTCAACATACTCAAGATACTCTTCACGATAAAACTCACGATAAACTCGAGTTACAACTCACGATACACTGCTACTCCGCGTACAAGCAGGGTTTATATAGCTTCTGACTAGCCTTCGAGAACATTCTGGTTCAAACAGGTAAGAGTTCGTTCTAGAATGTTCTCGCTCCGTCAATGGTATGTCGCTAAATGGGCGATTTTGCGCTGGCAACACTGCCTTACCTTTCCATTTTCTGGCAACCCTGAACCCGCTTTGCGTGGAAGCTATCTTGCCGTATCTGGGCATATTGTAACAATATCTTCTTTGTTCTACTTAAATAGAAATAAAAATATTTTCACTACATTTTGTTATAGTATTTGAATGATAATATAGAACTAACATAAGAAATAACTAAGAATAAAAGTATTGCGTATTTCAGTCGAACTTCAAATATCATGACCAAATGGGATCAAAACCCATCTAGACATACATATTATATACTCATATATACATAAACTCGGCATAATAGTACTGCCCCAGTAGATCAAATATGTATTTACTGTATTAAAAATAAGGGAATTAAATTTTCCCGTTCATCATAACTTATTTCAAAAAAGATTATATAGTAATACATATATTCATAAAATGGACTTTTTATGATAAAATTAAATAATGAAAATACTTTTTTATTTAAACGCAAGCAATTTCTATTTCAGTCAAAAGAAAATAATAAAATTAAGTTCCTTTCAAAAATCCTAAATAAAATATAAGGGGCCTTAAATTATATTGTATTAAACTAAGAGAATATAAAGAAATATTTTATATTCATTTAAAAATAAAGCTCTAAGCATAACATTACCTTTTCAATAAAAATTAAACTAATATGAAAAACACATTCTTCCTTTCACATAATAATTACGTAAATCATTTCACATAATAATTACGTGCATATTAATTACGTAAAAAATAATTAAGAAAATCGATACTTTATCTTTAAAAAGAAAAGAATCATAATTTTGGTTGAAGAGATAAATACAGAACTGAAAAATTATAGTAATGATTCTGAAACAGTTTTTATCTAGTGATAACTTTAACAATGATAGAGATTAAAACAATTTCTACATTATTGCAACACCTTAAAAAGTGACCATAAGAAGAAGTTAAAATTTTATTTAATTTAGTGAAAAAGCAGTTACTGTGTCTAAGCAATGATTCAAAGAGTAAGCAAAGACTAACAGGCTTATATACAGAGCATTATCAGCTTTCTCAAAAATGTTTTCAGACTACAGTATTGTCAAATATCTGTCAGATGCAGTGCGAAAGTTGCACAGATATGTCATACACGTTCATTTAAATTAAAGCAATAATTAGTTTAACGGAATCTATATTGTACAGTATTCAAATCAAAGAAATATTAGAAACACATAAATGAAATAAGATGATTAATTTTCCTTGGCATACGAAGAAGAATAAATGTCGGATATCAAGAACTGAACAATTGAAATTCTGCTTTAAAAATTTCAAATGCATAATCTAAACCGCCTGCGAAAAAATACGCAAGGTTTACTCAAGGCTTATTCCTGAATTTAAATTATTCAGAAATAACTTAAAATCTCATCAAACAGCAGGGATCTCAACCTTCAGGAACTTCGCGACAGGACAACTCAGTGGAAAGCACTCTAATGAGAGGCACGCGAAATTCTCAAGCAAATTGGTCGCGAAAGCGAGCAGACTACAGGAAAATTAGTATTTTACAGCAAGAGATTGGAAATATGCTGTTTCTAATAATTTTCCATTGCAATGGAAGTACCGAACCGAAAAATTTCTACAAATTCAATATTGCCCTATAAACTTGTGCTATTATATATTGGAGAAAGAAATGGTGAATGGTGTATTAAATTCGAAATTTATTTTTTTCATTTCAGATGAAAGTCACGGATCTTATCATTATCTAAGATGGTACTGAATAAGCAGCCGAGAAGGCCTTGTAAGATCTAGCGCTGCAGAATAAGAAACTTTTCTCAGAAATGTGTTTTTCCAGCATTTGTTTTGAGTTGAACGATAGGTTTCTAGCCGCAACAGTTGCGCTCAGCTATATGTTGCGGGTACGAATCCCAGTACTTTACGACTATGGGAAAAATACAATGCCGGCAGCTCAATTTTGCGTAGAAAAGGAACCAATCAGAGGAAATTTCCATTGCTGCATATTATACTTCTGGAAGGTCTTCCTTTGTACTCCTGAAAGGAACGCGTTTCTCGGAAAAGTTTTTTATGGGCCTGAAGCAGGGATTAATTTCTGAAATTAGAAATGCCGAAGCTTTATAGACTGTGAGGAACGAAAGAAAAAATTTAAAAAAAAAAAAAAAAAACCAAATTAAAATAAATATAATTAAATTAATTAAGAGAAAAAGGTACGAGATAAGAGAATCATAAATATTAAATAATTATAAAGAGGTTATAATAAAAAAATCGGGCCTTGCCTTATTTGGGGCATCGGCTGAAATTACAATTCCACTTAGATGATAAGAAGCAGCTCAGCTGATCTCCGTCTGAGATTAAACTCTGAATATAGGTATAATGTACTATTCTAAGGGATGGTAGGTAACACTTTTTTTCTCCACTAAGGAGAATAGTGAGAATTCTAGAAACAGTACGAGGATATGAAAGGAAATTGAATGAAAAAGTGTAGCTTTGAAAATAAAGAGGGAAGAGCTCAAGACTTTCTGATCGCGATGACCTTCGATAATTCTAGCGGAGGAAGAGAAATTTTCCTGAACGATTCGGTAACAACGGAGAAACAGGAGAATTCTTGTACCAGGTGACGCATGGTTCTCCCGTTTGGTACTGATTCATGATTTGGTTACATGAGTCTACAGGGGCTCTCTTGGATTCGGGAATCACTAGCGTGGAACGTGCACGACCAGGGTATCACTTTTCACAAAATTTACCCGCTCTCATAAATTCATAGCACATCCTGGAGAACAAGCCTTTGACATATAATTGGGGAGCCTTTCATTCCTTAAACGTCCGGAGTGCTGGTGCACTCTGGCTGAAATTATAATACATCTTGAAATCTGAGAAGTACCGAAGCCGGCCTCCGTTAGGCTCCGGCGCAATTTAGGCTCTGGCCTGAACATCTATAGATACGATGAAGATTTAAGTTACAGGTACAACATTGCTGTTTAGGTCTGCAATCATTGCCCAGGTCTGGCTAATAACCGACTATGGTCAAAAATAATGGTGAAACTGGGCGAGCGTGTTTGTAATGCAGTTTTAAAGCTGTCACTATGAGAAAATGGAGGAAAGAAGACTGTTTCAGCGGGTAATCATATATAAAAGGTCTCCAGAAAGGACTCGCAGTTGTACTGATGCAGTAACTATGATATGAATTGGAAACGTTTGAAATGACGAATAATATATAAAATTATACTTTTATATATAATTGTCGGTTTTATTATATACCATTTTAATAGAGGTATAGCTGAATTATAATGTTGAAATCCTTTAAATTCTTTCTTGATCATGACGCTTATACACACAATGTTTGCTGCAGTTATATTGGCATTGAAACTGGAGTAATAGTTAAGTGTGATAATAATTTATGATTTACTTTGATAGCAGCAGTTAATTATCTAATCTTAACATTACTTTTTATGATAAGCTAAGCTAACAGAATTTCCCAGCGAGTGAATGCCATGACACATTGCTACAACTTCTGAGATATTCTTCCCAAACTTTAGAGTAAGACTTGGCCTAAAACCATCTAGACTATCAATTTGTAGCCTCTTTCAGCCTTCTGAATATTTCAGCATTTCTGAAGTTTTTTTTTTTTTTTTTTTTTTTTTTTTTTTTTTTTTTAACTTTAAAACTACCGACGATTAATATGGACCTCTTTCTAGCAAGGAAAAAAAAAACTGTCAATTTGACGGATTGGTAATTTTAGAGTTCAATCCCAATGGTTTGCTCAAACGGAATATCGATAAATATTTTTAAAATCTTACCCTCAAATTATTGAACTTCGAAGTAAGTTTTAGAAGGAACGTTTTGACGTCAAGAAGAAATGAAAGAATTTATAATTATATACGTACTTAGATCCAAGTTCAGATGATGCACAAGGAGATTTTGTGTCGAAGAACACAGGAAATGAATGTATTCCCCAGGCAAATGATCTTGGTTCGGGATTCACAGAACTCAAGTGTACAGAAATTGTTACGTTTATATCTTCAGGACCTTGATAAAAAGTAATATTTCCTCGAATACCCGCATTGTTGAAAATGGCATACAACACCACTTGGCCACAAACCACTGAAAGGGAAAAAAATAAGAAATTAGATAATACGTAATCAATCAAATTTCTTTCAGGCTGAAAATTACTTAAAACAATCTTGAGAAGTTAGGCAGGCAAAATTTTAAATGTAGTTGAACCTTCTGTTAACAGACACTCATGGGACAAGGTTTTTGAATATTTATTTATTTTTACAAATGCGTGGGCCCACCAGCGGCCGAGCGGTAAAGTCGCTGAACACTGGTAGTTCGGTCCGAGGTTCGAATCCCGCGAACGGGCTGGCTGCATGGGTGTTTTCGTGTTTCCCCAGTGTACGTGTATACGAGCCAGTTTCCCTTAGAAAGTCCTCCACGAAAGGCATCCCTCCTCTTAGGCAGATAGCCCTAGTGTGCTTTGCCATAATTAAATACAACAACATACAAATGCGAAATTTTAGCGCTTTAAGCCGGGCTCTCCGGGACTTTTTAACAATGTTCTCCTACCGAGAAAGTGCAATACAATTATTTCGTATTGAATATTATCAAGGAGGTTTCGTTTAATGAGAATTTCTATAACTAGAGGGTCCGAGAATTTAGGAACATTAACTAAGAATGTCTGATAAAGTGGAACACCTGTTAAAGAAGATTTGAATGTACTTTCAAAAATCCCTATAAATTTTTAAAAAAATGATAATTTTACAGCTAATCCGACTGCAAAATCCCATTTTTTAAAAAATACTACATTAAATTTTAATATACTGGTATGAGGGAGTAGTTTTGGATGGAGTCATAAAACAGTCCTTTATAGTGTAACAATTATTTATTAACAGGTTTGAGTTACACACGGACATTACATTTAAGAAAATTACAGAGCAAGAGTCTGAGACAAACTATCAGGTTAAACACTTGGCTTTTACTGAAGTACTTATCTGGTTACTCACCAGAGGTCACACTCGCTGTTACAGTTAGTCCATCAGTTTATTAGCAGCAGAGTTTACATTAAAGAATTAGTTACACTGGGCAATTACTCTGCTCCTTATAAATTTTATTCCTAAGCTAAGGAGCGTATCTTTGTTGATAACAAGAAAATTAGTGCAATATTTTCCCAAGTTCTTAAATAAGAACTCGAGCAGTATGTAACTTGAAAAGGTTAGAATAGTGAAATTTAGCAACTCTGCTTTGGGTTCGAGTGGATAGCAGCTTCGAACTAAATGCGCATTAATTCAGTTTATACCAGACTAACGGAATTTTCCCCTTAGATTTCTAATCTTAGTTGTACAAAACAATGGGAGAAAAATGTGTGATTATTATTTTCGAAATTTCCATACTTTCGTTACAGTCTTACTCGCCACAAAAATTTGCAGCAATAATTTTCTAGACACAATAGGTACTTAAAAAATTGTTCTTAAAGTAAAAATTATTTGCATTGAATTCCTCTTTCATTAAAGTTTATTCTTTTGTATTTTAAAGAAAGTATACACTGTCGAGACTATAACATATCTCATTTTGTTTGCCCTACAGGGCATTTTCATGTTTGTTTCAGGCTTAAGACCATATTCATTACATGGCTTTTAATGATTGTCATCTGGATAGAACAATTCGGACAAAATTGTCTAAGCGTAAAGGAAGCACATAGACAAAAGACATTGTCTCAGTTTTCTTCTTCCTGTTACAAAAAGCAGAAACAGTTTTATTGTTATAAACATATTCGAAATTAGAACGACAAATTTACTACATTCTGCGCAGACATTTTTGTTAAACAATTACACTTATCAATTATTTAGTTTCTTGCATTTAAATTTGGTGCTTAATAAATTTATAGTAAACCCAATAAAAGCAAGGAAATTTGGTTCTGTATTTAAAGTATTCCATGCCATAGGTTTCAAAACCGACATTCTCCAAGCTTTAAACTAATGCGATTCTAAAGAAGTCACAAATCTCTGTCAATTATTATTGAAAAACGATAGGTAGAAATATTTAACTTACGTTCATTATAGGTTAGTAAGTATACGATATGAAAAATATTTTAGAAATATTCATCAATAAACTATGAAACTCTTTTCAGAAGCGAAGAACAATTTTGCTCCTGAAGAAGAGAAACTTGTGTCTGATCGCTTTAGAAGCCGAAAAAGTTTTATTCAAAATCTACCCCAAGCTTTACATAAATTAAGGTTTTATTTCCCCCTTAATTTTAATTTTTAAGACTAATATGTTTTTTCCCTTCAAATTTGATTTCTATATTATTCTACTACAACATCCTCAGAGCAAAGTATTTCAATATATTTTTAAAATATACTTTCAAACATAACATAAGTGCTAGTATTGCTCCTATTAATCATAAATCATTTATAATTTATAATTATGTGTAAAAAGCAAATTTCTAATCCTTATAATAAGCATAATAAAGAGATATTTTATTAATATGTATTTCCTTAAATTTTTGGAAATTATTAGTTTCTCTGAAGTAACATTTACGTGAATTTTATGACTTTTACCTCTAGTTGCATTCTCGTATTTTGAAGGAAAAGGAATTTAATTCTATAAATGTTTTGCTTAACTTAATATAGCAAAGCATGCAATATTTATCTACTTAGACGAATGTTTTGTGAAGGATTTCCAAAGGGAAACTGAATAATATCTACATTACATATATGTAAAATCATACAGGAATCAGGAGAATAGGATCGTATTCGTGTTACATATAGGGTAATACAAGTCACTTTGTTCGCTGGTAATACAAGTCAATTTGATCGCTGGTTAAATTGTTCTAGTAATACAAGTCTACTAGAATTCATGGTCTAAACCACTTACTTAGTTGGCATTAATTATGTATTACTACGATTATAAATTTTCGTTATGTAATATACATATACCACAAAAGTAAGTGTAAATGTTATTTTTGCTCTTTCTGTTTAGCAAAGCATTCACCAAGATACGAAAAGAGTCTTAACAGTAACATTTTACTATATCCGTAATTTTAAAACTTTTATATCAGTAATTTTTAATCCGAGTTTGTTAGGAAACAGTCTACGTGATCTTAGATAATCGGAGTTTAGCTGTGTGTGTACTTAATGCTTTTCATCCAAATACGCTGAATGGGACAATTTAAGACTTAACTTCAATTTTCTAAAAGGTAAAATGCTCACATTTAAGTTTCGGGAATTCTTCAGATGAAACCAAATAGTTATTCTAAATTCCGTAAACAGAACGCTTCGTCACGAGACTACTACAAAATAGCCTATTATTCCAGATTTCTTCAAGAAGATAACTAGTCTGTCCTTCTACACGTTTTGCTTTACACTCACGAAGGATCCGAATTCAAATGCACGAAACGTTTCAAGGTCAGATTTTAAATTCTGGAATATTTTTACTTCTTTTCGATCCTGATTCAAGAATTCCTATAAATTTCTTAGTGTGACATCGCATTTAAAATCTTAATCCTAGCAAACTGGAGTAGATTATTTTCCTAGTCGAGTAGAACAGATTATTTTTCTAATTTCTTTCTTTGTTGCAGCGAAAATGAGTTGCATAAGGTTAACAGTTAAGATAAAAGTCTGCGTATGCAAATAAATTAACATATTATTGAGGCTTTTGTCTTAACCGGGTTTTAACTTTTAACAATTTCCATATTTATTTGTTTGGAATGGACTTAAGCTTTAAAAGAACACGCTTTTAATAAAAAGAAAGAAATGAATAAAATTTTCAAAGCCAAATGATTTTATACCAGATACCTAATATACGAAGTTAAAAATAGCTTTTATGAATTACAATAATACTGCGAATGTTCACTAAAGTTATGAGTTGGACATAATGTAAAATAAACGAATATGTTAAATATGGTATTAAAATAAAATAAAGGTTTGAATAATTAAGAAACATGTTTATTGTTTTTAAATCTTTCAGTTAGTGAAAGAAAGAAATAAAGATTAGGTTACGTCAATTGAATGTGCAAAGCACCCGAAGGCTATCTACCTAAGGACAAGGATGCTTTCGTGAAAAACTATCTAAGAGAAACTGGCTCGTATTCACGTTATACATGGGGAAAAACAACCATGCCACCAGCCAGTTTGCCTTTGCCTAGGATCGAATACGGGTCGAACTCTCAATGTTCAGCAGTCTTAACTACTCGGCTACTAGCGGAGCTAAGGAATTTGAAATCAATTACATTTGAAAGATAAATTTAAAATCCTATGTCTTATCAAATGGCAGCACTCTAAAAATTGGCTGCGAGTATTGCATAAAAAATGAATTCATCTTTCCAGCAGCACCATAGTAACATGGCAACGCTTGTCATGACGAGTGAAACGTAAATCTGACAGTCCAAAATATTTGGGAAGAATTTCTCTAAGAGAATAACGTTAAGAATAAGAACGTTTCTAAGACAATTTTAGTATCTCGGTTAGCTCTAGAACGTGAAAGTACTCCACTACAGTAATTCGCTGAAATATAGGACTACAGAATATAAAAAAAAAAATAATTTAAAGAGGCTTTTATTTTCTTTCGTCGAACAAAGTTAGTTTGGATCCTCAGTCTATTACAACTAAGGAATTTTCTTGCATTCACATAAATTATTCTTTTATTTGAAAAATAGTTTTTGCAAATAACGAAACGAAAGTTTTGACAAATAGAAAAACTCCGGATGTTTCCCCATCGTAATACCCTTATTTACATTGGCTTTAACGGAAATTTCTAAACCAAATATGTTTCATAAGCAAATATTCTGGCTGTGATACCAAGATTTAAAGTGCATTTAGAAGTAAAGTTCGCTAGGAAACAGACGAAAGCACATTAGACAATTTAGAAACCTCATTAATAGGAAAATCATTAACTAGCACATATTCCACTAGGTAGTAAATAATGGAAGTGCTTTTGCTGTTTAAAATACGTAAATATTGAATGAGAATTGGTATTAAAGAAATAACATAAACAATAAAATGTTTGAAGAACTAAATGCATTTGAAGTTTGACATTCTAATTGTAAAATTACATCGAATGTAACTGTAGTGTCATTACACGATTAAAATTACAAATTTCGTTTATATTA